GTGCCTTCACGACATGGCTGCAGCGTCAACAATACTACAGTGAGAATAAAAGTTACGCCTTCTTTCTTTGCGTGAACATTTGGGCGGTGTTATGCAAATCTTCCCACATAGTGATGTAGATATGTGGGGGCGTGTTAGAACGAGCCTTTTTAGGTAGGCGTGGCTGACTCTGAACTTTTATAAAGAATATCTCTTTGGATTTGAGACTTTAGTCTTTGCAACTTTACAGATCTTCTTTATGCACCAAGAGCGTGTAACACTCCAAAGAGAAAGGAAAAATGGAAATCGCATCATATGACTTTAAAGGGCATTAAAACGTTTCCACCAAAAGAAATTACTAATAGTACTTTTGACATTCAAATATCAGCATAAACTCCAAGATTACTGTCATATCAGGCATCGAAACATAAACACACATTGGTGCACCTCTAAACTTAATAGATTTCTGAATGGAATTTGGTTTTCTTTGTACAAAGTTATTGTTTCTGTGTGTTTCAGTATCAGCAGTACTCTCATGGACATGGAGAGCATCGCATCCAGCGGTCGTTCTACCCCAGCTATGATGAACGGACACGGCGGGGCATCTTCCTCCTCCACTAAGGGCTCATCTTACCCCTGCTGCTGGGATCAGTGCCACATGCTGTTCAACAGCAGCCCGGACCTGGCCGAACACATCCGCGGAGTGCACGTGGACGGACAGCGCGGCGGGGTCAGTATGTGTGTGTGCATGCTCGTTTTATGCCCCAAAAAGCATTTAAGCCATATTAAATGTGGCATCGCATTAGAAGCAAACACGCATTTTTAAAGCAAAGTATTTTACAAAAAGATGCTTGAAATGTCCAAATGCTTTTTGAGACATGTATAGAGTGAAATTCTTGCATTGCTCACTGTTTGCACGCAGGTTTTCGTGTGTCTTTGGAAAGGCTGTAAGGTGTATAACACACCGTCCACCAGTCAGAGCTGGCTGCAGAGACACATGCTCTCACACAGTGGAGACAAACCATTTAAGGTTGGCCTCTTTGCGCGCGCACACACACACACACACAAAATGTATACATTTTTGTATTTTTTAGTTTCTATTTTATTTAATTGTAATCGGTTTATTTTTTCTTGTTTTATTTAATCAGTTTTTTATTTCGTTTTGTAGTTTCTATTTTATTTAATTGTGTTTTATTAAATTTAAATGACTATAATCTTTAAAAAAAATACTTAAAAACCTCAAGCTTTTAAAATGATTGCAAATGTAAAAGTATGTAACCTTATGCTCTCACACAGAGGAGACAAACCGTTTAAGGTTGGCCTCTTTGCGCGCGCACACACACACACACACACACACACACACAAAATGTATTAATTTTTGTATTTTTTAGTTTCTATTTTATTTAATTGTAATCGGTTTATTTTTTCTTGTTTTATTTAATGTTTTTTATTTCGTTTTGTAGTTTCTATTTTATTTAATTGTGTTTTATTAAATTTAAATGACTATAATCTTTAAAAAAAATACTTAAAAACCTCAAGCTTTTAAAATGATTGCAAATGTAAAAGTATGTAACCTTCAAACCTCAAGATTTTAAAAGATTTTAAATGTTTCAAACTTACAGCGTGTTAAGCTATTTTAAATATAAATGTTACTATCACTACTACTAGTTTTTAAGTTTCTATTTTATTAAATTTGAATTCATTTAACATTTTATTTAGTCGATTTAGTTTTTTTTATTTTTGTAGTTTAGTAAAATATTATTATTATTAGATTTTTTTCACACACACACATACGTATGACCTGATATACGTGACAGACTGATGGTTCTGAGGCTCCTTAAGTCACATTAACTGCCTCAAAAACACATACAGACTGATCTATAGCTGGCTTTGTAGATGTTATTAATCCCAAAGGAGAAGTTTAGCATTCCTCCCTGAAGCGTGTCTGTGTCCTACTGTGCAGAGAGATACAGATGAGCGCTGTGCAGAAAGTAGGGGTAGTATACAGTGTACTATGCAGAATGTACATTTTCTTTTATTAATTTAAATATAATTTAATTTAATAAATGTAATTTTTTGTATATATAGTTTTACATTTAATAAAAAAATTTAATTAAAAATATTTGTTTTATTTGTAATTTATTGATAATTATTTATAGTTATAATTAGAGCCTGACCGATATGGGTTTTGTGGGGGCCGATGCCAATACCGATATTAGGGAGTAAAAAAATACAGTATATATATATACAATAAATATACATAAACACATTTTTTGCAATGATTACTCAAATGTGGTGTTCAAACACTTATAATGATGTGACAAATATAGGCCTATGTAGTGGAGGCAGGGTATTTAACAATTTAACAATAAACTTAAACTTACAGCGTGTTAAGCTATTTTAAATATAAATGTTACTATCACTACTACTAGTTTTTAAGTTTCTATTTTATTAAATTTGAATTCATTTAACATTTTATTTAGTCGATTTAGTTTTTTTTATTTTTGTAGTTTAGTAAAATATTATTATTATTAGATTTTTATTTTTATTTTTTTTTAAACAGGTTCTTTATTTAATGCAATTCTGAAGCACAACTTTAAATTGTCTTACAGGGTCAGTCTCACACATCAGGCCACATTTCACCAAAATATCTAAAGTGGGGAAAAATGTCCATTTAGATTTTTATGACATTAATAAATTAGAATTTTAAGAGGGGGAAAATTCTCTTCTCGTTTGTTTGATTTTGAGTTGAAATATCACTTTGACATATTTTGTATAATGCATTGTATGAGTTCATACTGTTATACAAGTATAGCCTTGCATACGGCTGCATTTTTGTTTATGAGGGAACTTTGTCATCATGGCTAGACAATGAAAACACTGTCCACAAAACTCATCCTGTAATTACAGAGTTCATGTGACTTGTTTTTTATTTGCTGTAATTGCTCTGACCAATGTCTGTCTCTGTGAAGTGTGTGGTGGGAGGTTGCAATGCCACCTTCGCCTCCCAGGGGGGGCTAGCGCGCCACGTACCGACCCACTTCAGCTCCCAGAATTCCTCCAAACTCTCAAGCCAAACCAAGGTGAAGGAAGAGTCGCCTTCCAAAGCGGGCATCAACAAACGGAGGAAACTCAAGTACAAACGGCGGAGGTCGTTGCGTAAGCGTCAGTGTAACTTCAGTCCTTGTTTAATTCTGGGTTCAAAACTCCCGCTCGATAACGCCATTCTGTTTCTTCCCACCAGCACGACCTCACGACTTTTTTGATGCTCAGACCATGGATGCAATCCGTCATCGCGCCATCTGCCTCAATCTAGCCACTCATATTGAGAGCCAAGGCAAAGGCCACAGTGTTGTGTTTCACAGTACGGTGGGTACCAATACTTAATCATGCTACTATACATGCTACTATATTAGCTACTAGCATGATACTCCGAAGAATACCTACATTTAATGATTCGTTATTGATCAAGCACCAAATATTAACATAGTGAGGTCACGTGACAAAATCATGGCATACTATTGTTTACAAAACTTTATATTGCATACTGAATACTCTTTCAAATACTTTTTTGTTTGTAGTAGAAACTGTAAGGAGTATCCTAGTACTTGTATATTGATTTCTTTTCCCAATCAGTGTCTTCACTGTAGTGTGTATTCTTGTTTTATTGAGGGGAAAATAGTAGGTATCACTAAATGCTTAGTATGCAGGGCACTATTATTCCATTCCAAACGCAGCCCATGTTGTTGGTTTCTGTTCTGAATTAGTTTCTTTTTATATGCTAACCATCTCATCAGCGCATTCACTTTCCATAATCCTTTCTAAGGAACTCTGAGCTGAAGTCAGACTTGCTTGGGCTCTCACAGTCCAGTTAGTCTGGGCCACTGCTCCCCTGTGTCTTTAATTAATGAGCTGCTGCCAGCACACAGGCCCTCGTCTTTACGGCCACAGTCACGACCTCGCCTTCTGCTCCAAAAAACCCATGAAAACCGTCCCATTTAACCAGCAAGCACACAGCTAGTATGTAGCATGGAATTAACCAATAAACAAGATCTTATGCATTTCTTCTCATTGTGTGTAATTGAGCAGGTGATCGCCAGGCGGAAGGAGGATTCTGGGAAAGTGAAAGTGTTGCTTCATTGGACGCCGGAGGACATGTGAGTATATGAAAGTGCACTGCTCACCTCAGAGCCCTGTGCTAAATGTCAGCCATTTATGAGTCACGGGCCACTTGAGGGCATCCTTACGCACTGATGCTTCAAAACACACACACACATACGTATGACCTGATATACGTGACAGACTGATGGTTCTGAGGCTCCTTAAGTCACATTAACTGCCTCAAAAACACATACAGACTGATCTATAGCTGGCTTTGTAGATGTTATTAATCCCAAAGGAGAAGTTTAGCATTCCTCCCTGAAGCGTGTCTGTGTCCTACTGTGCAGAGAGATACAGATGAGCGCTGTGCAGAAAGTAGGGGTAGTATACAGTGTACTATGCAGAATGTACATTTTCTTTTATTAATTTAAATATAATTTAATTTAATAAATGTAATTTTTTGTATATATAGTTTTACATTTAATAAAAAAATTTAATTAAAAATATTTGTTTTATTTGTAATTTATTGATAATTATTTATAGTTATAATTAGAGCCTGACCGATATGGGTTTTGTGGGGGCCGATGCCAATACCGATATTAGGGAGTAAAAAAATACAGTCTATATATATACAATAAATATACATAAACACATTTTTTGCAATGATTACTCAAATGTGGTGTTCAAACACTTATAATGATGTGACAAATATAGGCCTATGTAGTGGAGGCAGGGTATTTAACAATTTAACAATAAACTTTATTATTCAAAATGAGTCTTGACATCTGTGCACTTAACAGTAAACTTCACTTCACTTACTATAAATAACTTAAATAACACAAATAGAACAAAATATATGTAACTTGAATTAAGAAATTAAACAAGGTAACTGCCAAACCAACAGGGGCAGGTTTATGCAGGAAGCACAGCTTTTCCCAATATAAACATCTAAAATGAATAAATAATAATAATGAATATATATATATATATTTTTTTTTTTACAAATTCTGTGTTGTGTATTTTCTGGTACTCAAATGAACATGCAGAACATGAGGATTCGTATTATTTACTTAGCATTGAGTCTCTCCAACTAGGTGACAACGTAGCGTTAAATCACCATTCAACAGACTCAAGCCACCACCGCACTGCCATCTATTGGACTGCAGAAAGATACTAACTTTTCAATCTGCTACGTTACTGACTGTACTGACAAACTATGCTGACACCGTGTCTTCACTGCAACAGGACGCGACAAAGCAACCGTTGAAAGTAATTTGAACTTTGTGTCAGCACGTCATAAATAGAACGAGGCTTCAGTTTACTGCATCCAGTGTTGACAACATCACTGATTATAATGGGTTCTATTCTACCCCCGGACGCGAGCGGTGCGGACCGATGTGATAAGCATGAGTTCTGGGCCGCGGCATGGCCGATATAAACACCAGCATTGACTGAATGGCCGTGATCAGCTCTGGTGGCCATAACACAGGCTTTAATGCGCCGCAGACGCGTGCCGTGATGCGCAGATCAGCTCTAGTCTCTAAAGTCACTGAATCTGCTGTTAAAAATGAACCATCCATTCATCATATCATCATGCAAAACTAAGAATTAGAATCATTGTAATGTGACGATCAAATATAGGTGCGGGCGGATAATTTGAAGCAGCGGACTCTGTTGAAGTTTGTAAATAAAATTACAATTACAAACAATTATTAAATTAGTAATTACACCATTCTGAAGCATTTAATCTGCGTTGTACGTTCTGTAAAAAAAAAATTCATATCGGCGGCATATTCGCCGATACCGATACATCTGCGTCAGGCTCATATCATTGATTCATGTCGTATCATCATCTCATATCAATCTCATATCATCGTGTATATATTAGGGATGTCAATTTTCGATCATTTCCATGATCGATCGTCGTTTACATTAACGATCAATTAATCGATTAATCGTTAACCTTAATGCTGCAAAATGCGTCTATTTCAGCGGCACGCAGTCAAAGGCATGACTGGATGTGCAAAAGCCACTCACACACAAAAAAAAAAACCGCTTTCTCACCCGAATGAAAGGAGTTTTAGTCTGAATAAAATGCTAGTGGCAGTATTGTAAAATGAATAAGTGTGATTATTATGATTATTTGATAAAATGAAGAGAGCGCGCCGTACGTTTGAGATCATTTTACTTTGTTGACTGTTTCCTATCCCGTCACGGAGACCGCTGAACGTGCCTCTTTAAATTGTTTAGTGGTGCTCGTTGTTGTATTTTAAAAAACAATTGCAATGTTTTCAACTGACATTATGGCATTTAAAATAAAATTATCCCAAACGTAACTGTGGCGCGTGTGGCTGTGCTGCGCAGTCAGTGAACCGCTTCCATCGGCGCTGCTGCAGCAAAACACACTGTTGCTAACATGAAACTTTATCATGTGAGTATTATGGCCAGTACTTAATTTGATCCTGCTGGATCCTGTTCCGGAAAATGTCAGATTTTACATTTTTGCGTTCCGGTAGGCCTATTTGGTTTTAAAAATCCGGCATTTACAATGCATTAGATCGTGACAGTGCATGCGTGCGTGCATACGAGAACGAGCGAGCGCGGGTTTGGATAGATGTATTTGGAGGTTATT